GCTTTTTCTTTTAGTACACTGAATATGTTGGCCTTCTGCCTTCTAGATTCCAAAGTTTTTGATGAGAAATCTGTTGAAAATCTAATTGAGTGTCACTTGGATGTGATGAGTTGCTTCCTTCTTACTACTTCCAAGATACTCTCTGATTTTTGGAAGTTGTTTGTAAAGAATCTTGGTGAGGTTTCTGAGTTCATTTTTCCTCTTTTTTTTGATTGTATTTATGCATGTCATCATTTTGGGAAATCTGCAGTCATTTTATCTTCAAATAATCTTCTATTGTCCAGATTTGTAAATGTGCCTTTAAATCCCTGGAGGGAATGTTTCATTCTAGTTATTGTACTTCACTGTTCTTTTTATGCCATCTCTTTGTTAATACTTCCACTTTGCTCATATATTGTTTTCTTGGCTTGCCCCAAAACTTCCTTTGATTGTCTTTAAGAGAGTTATTTAAAGTCTTTATCTAATATATCTGCTATCAGGTCTCTTTTTAGGAAGTTTCCATTGCTTTATTTATTTTCTGATTGATTATACTTTCTTTTTTTATTTTTTTGATCATTGTTAAGAATTACTGATTTCAATCTAATATTATGGTATTTCCTTTGTTTTGTTACTGTTTTTGCCTTTAAAAAAAAAAAGTAAAAAAGATTGTCTCTGCGCTGTGGATAAACCTGGGGTGTAAATGTAAGTTCTTATTTTCTTGGGTTTTTTCGGAGCCTGTCTGTGGGCATGTGTGGAAAGTTCTAGTTTTTCCCTATCTATGCAGTCATTTTTGAACTATCTTATACTTAAAGAGAAAAATTAAGGGTGGAAGAATGGTGCTGACTTTTTAAATATCCTGAAATTTATTTTAGCTCAGGTGGAAGGGACTTGTAACAAGGGGTGAGGCAGAAATACAATAACAATGACTGCCTCCCTCTTCATACCTCTGTAAACTGAAGCAGGAATCAGCAGAGGGTTCCACCCTGCCTTTCACAAGATGTACTTACATTGCTCCAGAAACAGGTGTGTAGCTACCTGCCATCAGGCTGGGAGAAGAGATGGATAGCTGACTTCGCTAGTAGCTAAAATAACCCTAATTTGCCATTTAAACATCCTCTGGAAGTTTCAGGTCTTTAAATTATGTACATCAGATGGATTCTGCCAGTGTAGCTGTTATGAAGATGGGAAATAGGTTCCTGGTGCTTCATATATTACCATCTTTCCAGTATCTTTGAGTATGCTGTTCTTGACACAGATGTTTTATACTAACATGTATTTCTATCAACGGACATGTGCATTTCTGGTTTCTTTACTATCATGATTTGATTCTTTGCAGTGTATATTTTTATAAATATTTAACCTATATTTCATGATCTCAGTATTTGCATTATAATTTTAAATTTATTTTAGTAACTAGCACAAGACTAGACTTTATCTTCTTTTTCCTCAAATCATTCCATAACCATTCTAGTATCAATGACTGTTCAATTTATTCTTAGGTCACTTACTTGAAAAGACACCTTTGAAGCATAATCGATTTTAGACTGTCTAGTTTTTATTCCATGGCATGAGACTTATTCTCTTTCTCTGCTCAGTACTGCTATGCTAAATACTTCTAATACTTTGAAAATCCCCTTATTATGCTCATTTTAAAGCCATAACTTACTGATTATTTTTAAAACAACTTATTAAACCACATGAGATTTAGTAACTTATTTACATACTTTTCACCATTAAAATTAATAATGTAAGCCACATAATTTTGTTTGAATATGAACAACCTACTTGGAAAGGATCATCATGAAACTTTGCATTATGGACAAGAAATGCATTTTAGTTATTTAAATGTGTATTATGCTTTTTATTAAGATTGATGTTTTTTTAAAACTATGGATCTTGGAGCTGCCCTATGACCCAGCAATCCCACTCCTAGGTATTTACCCAAAAGACACAAAAAGATTGATTTCAAAGGACACCTGCACCCCCATGTTTTTTCTGCATTATATTTACAGTTGGAAAGACATGGAAACAGCCCAAATGCCCAAAAGTGGATGACTAGATCAAAAAGATGTGGTACATATACACAATGGAATATTACTCAATTACTCACCAACCAAAAAAAAAAAAAAAAGAAAGAAACACATGTTCTTTGCAGCAACATGGATGGAGCTGGAAAAGATCATGCTTAGTGAAATAAACCAGAAAGTAAAGGAAAAATACCGAATGGTTTCATTCATAGCAGGAGTATAGTGGACCAGGCAAGATAATAATAATAAACTGTTATATACCAGAGACATTTTATGGGGGTGGAGTGGGGAATGGGATCAAAAACAGTTGGGGGAGGGAAATACACTGGATTTTGGTGATGGGACATGGGTGATTTGGTGATGGGAATCCTATGGGGACTACAACTGGGATAGAAAAAATGCACAAAATGATGTAAAACTAAACTATTATATTATTTAAAAAATACTATGGATCTTACATATTTCTTAAGTAATGGTTAAGCTATTTTTAAGTATTATTTATAATTGGAGGCAATTACAATTTTCTTCGTTGTCTTAATGTGTATTGCTGATGCCTAGGAAAATACAATTTTTTCCATGTTTACTTCATGTCAACTTTCTAACTTTTCTTATTAATTATGATGGTATTACCGTTGAGTCTTCTTTTCAAGGGGGCAATCTTATCAACTGAAATCTTATACACTGCAGATACGCTGGGTGTGCGAATCTTGTTCTGACTTGTTCTAATAGCTGCCGTGTTTCACATTAAGCATGATATTGACAGTTGCTTTCCAGATAATCCTATTTCCCTGTGGATAAAACAAGAGAAGCTGTGGAGCTGTCTTTGGTGAACTATTTTCTCCATCCCCTACCATTGACTTCAACAGAAATTCATCTCTTAACTGTCTCCTCACATGTGAAATGCATGGTTCTCACACTCCTATATTCTGCTAAGGAGCTAAATAAAACATTTTATCCCATAAACTTTTGTTTCACTGAGAATTTTCCAATAAGCTGTCAAACTTCAAGTCTTCCATCTATCTTTTTAGTTTCATTTCACATATGCTTGTGTCTGCTGCATGAAGATTTTATTTTAGTTTCATATTAATCTTCTGCTGCTGTCTGCAACTTGATGTTAAGCTGAGAATTAAAGGAAACAGGGGACATTTTAAAAGTTGCGTGGATCTTGTGTGTATGCATAGCACCCATATTACAACTACTGATGGTACATTCTCATAAAATGAATGACTAATTGATATACTCTTATGAGTCCTCATTCAGAGTTGACATCATGGTGATGTGATGACATAGAATCAAACACAATGGGAATCCTATTTCTAAAATGACTAAAGAAAAAAAAAAACTTAAATAACCATATAACCTAGTAAGTCTAGTAAGTAGATTTCAGCTGAGAGATTACCAATGAAACACACTCACACAGACATACACACACACACACGCCAAACAAACCCAAACCTTATCCTCTAACCTTATCCTCTATGAATAGGTCTATCCTGGGACATGTGTCTGGTATACATGTGTCTTGAGTGGGTTGGGGGGTTGAATATACAATGATAGAGCAAATAAAGTGATAGTAGTAAAGCAAATTTAGGCCTGGGTCCATGCCGTGGATCATTCTAACAGAGCTTAATTTGCTGTCATCCCTGTTTCCTATCCCCCTAAGCCCACCACAGTAAACTTTCCATCTCTAAGTTCTTCCTTAGAAAACTCATGTAATCCATGAAAAAAATTCAGAAATAAAATAGAACAATTTAAATAATGAAAGGCATTTGTCAGTTCAAGTTACAGCAGCCTAGACTCATAGATGGGTCACACTTTAGAATATATTTGTGAGTTTTCTGACTCTTTCTAATTATCTCAGTTTTCATTGTATTCTAAGCTCCTTGCAAGTTCCATCTTTTTCCAAGGAAATTTTCAATTAAGTCCACATTTTCAATGACCTTAAATTAACAATCTGAAAGTAAAATGAAGAAAACTGACTTTTCTACTGCTGACAACTAAGTTAATACATTGAAATAACATACAATCTGCATTTTTTTAAAAAAAAATAACGTGTTCTTAAAAAATTCAATGACTGAAAAATTACTGAAAGGCTGTATCTGTATCAACCAATGGCTTACATCCCTATTTAAGCTTACTTTTGTCCTATTTGAAATCTTGCTTTTCAGAAATTTTATCATATTAGTTGAGTACAGACATTGAAACTGAGAAAAATTTTTATTAAAATGACAGCCTGGTCATGATTAAGTTTGAACAGGATAGGAAGATTGGTTAGAAGAAAAAAATAAACTCAGCATAACATTTTAGATGGTATGTTTTTAAATTATTATAAAATTTAAATTTTATGTTAAAATATACATTGTCACACTCCCTACTGAAAATAGAGAAACTGGGAAAGCATGAGAATAGGAGAAAAGTCAGGAACATTTTTAGCCTAATAAAGCAAAGCAGCATGAGGATAGGGCCTTTGTTAGGGAGAACTGTGCTTCAGGCAAACAGTTGATTTTGTTTTATCCAGTCCTTTTGGCTCCCTTTGGCCCTTGGCATTTATTATCCTCATCTGACCCCTTGAATTTCCAAAGTCCCTACTTTCAGAGATCACAACACGTTGTTGTTCATATTTTCCCTATTTCTAACCATTGGAATTTGGCCACCTATACTTATTTCTTAGGTTCTGTTTTTTGATTAGTTGAAAACAGATGGTGTCTGAGTCAGGATGGAGTTCACTCAAAAAGGAGACATAGCACAGGCTTAGGTGAGAAGTTGGTAAGGGGAGTCTCCGAGTGTCAAACACAGCTAGGCCTAAGGACTTCCTGTTTCTGCCTCTCAGGCTCTTTTCATTGTTCTCTGATTCCTTTCCCATCTTAGTTAACTGCTCACAGGGCCATCCAATTATCTTCCTTGGTCTTTATTTTGCCTCTTCCATTGTTAATTGGCCTCATCTTATTCAGTCTCTCAAGAAAGCACCTTGATTGGCTCATCTTTTCACCCTAGGCCACTGGTTGCCAACTTGTCATGGATTCCCTCCACACGGGTCCACTCTTGCCCCAAATGTGGCTGTGGCTGACAGGAACTCATAAGATGGGAGATGCTTGGCAGGGCAAGATATTCTTTGAAGAGACTGTGGGCAGGAAGGCAATGCTAGAACCTGGAACAGCTGTTTTGGGACACTTAGGAGCCCTGAGCTCTTCAAACTCCTGGGCTGCCCTGCTGAGTGATGAGTGAGTTTGGCAGCACATTTTGCTTCCTTTAGCTAATCCGGTGGATTTGGGAGACACTGAGGGAATAAGAAGAATTTCAGAATGCAGCATCCGCAGCACATTGTAAGTTTCACTTGAGAATACTTTCTCCCATCTGAAATGGTGATTATGTTCTGCCTAGATTCCAAGACATCTTGGCTTCCTGGTGAGATGGGGGCGAACACTGACCGACACATAAACTGCTTTTTAGTGTGTGTTGATTAAATCACATCTATACAGATAGGTTGGCTTTCGCCATGGCTCCATAACACATTCCCTCAGCCCCCTTCAGTATTTGCTGTTGGATGACCTGGTCGAATGTGTGTTGATGCGAGTGCCCATGGTGAGAAAGAAATCCCATGTCCTGCTTAAGGAGCTCAGAGATAATAAACAAGGATAAGTGTAAGGAGGTCAGTTGCTTGTCCCAAGGTGCAGAGCTTTATATGAAAAGCCCCAGGCAGCTAGCCGATCACCCAGGGTTACCCAGACTTAGTAGATTTCACTTTTCTCCCAGCACCGCTCCCCGTTTCCCTTCTACTCGTGAAATTTATTAGCCACCGTCAAACCTCACTTCCTTGCATGTATCTAATTTTACGCGTGATTTTTAATGCTCGCAAACCCAGGCTTTCTCTTTCCCCATCTGTAACATCATTCAAACAGGCGTTCTGGCAATGTGACAATGCCTTGGTGAGTTTTAGGATGTTTCTTTGGGATCAGCATATATGCGCGAGCTCAGCCTCTGTGTCTCTGCTGCTTCATTTCCGTACGGACGTCCACCGAGCCTCACGACGCGTCCACATAAATGTCTCCCGGGGCTCTCGAGTTCAATGTCACGCTGGGCAGAAGTGAGCGAGTGGAGGGAGTGTGCGGCCGGCTGGCTGGCGGCCGGGCGCAGACGCTTTCCAGCCAGCAGAGGGCAGCCGAGGGGAGGCGCTGGCGCGCGAGGGCTGAGCCTCGCCTCGTCTCGCTCGGGCAGCCTCAGCCTCAGCACCAGCCGCGCCGGA